GTAAGAAAAACGTATCGGACAGGTTTGCATCAGGACAACAGGGAAGCTGAGTAAAAGACGGCCTCCCAGGTGTAGTCACAACATGGCCTGTAAGGGTGGTGCTGACTGCACACCTTCAAGGATCTCCTGTACCCGACACAGAGAGAACAAGGAATGATTTGGCACGAAGAAAGGAGGGAAAGGGTGGAACAGGAACGCATTGCTTCAGCCCAACAAACAGGTCACTGTGATTCCAACTGCATAAGAACGCAGTATATGCAGCAGAGTGGTATCTCTGTTTCTGTCCGGGTGATGACCGATGAGACGAACTGAATACAGTCAATATGCAATGATAAAAACCTGGCAAGGCTGGTTGTTAGGTCGTCCCTTTAGGCAGCCGATAATACCGAGGTTTGGGCCTGCTGGAGTTTGACGAAGGCTGGAAAAATACTGGAAGTCACTCTTTTGTTGCACCTGGTGAGAGACGTCACCCACATCTGTTAACAGATTCTGCAAATACACACACGTCAACGAACAGTTGATCAAATTTTTAGTTCATAATGCTGAATTTAAGACATGTTGAGGCTAAAAAGTGTTAAAATTCTGACTTTAATTAACTAAAATTATTGAGTTAGTCATAGGATGAAAACACCGACACCCTAAAAACAACTTTACAGCTGAGTTACAACTGAAGATTAAAAATCAACAGTTCAAATACTTTCTTTGCTTTTGTGAAAAGAGAAATTGTAGTTTATAATATTTATTTATTTTTTATTTAAGCTGATAAAACATTTTACAGTCAGTTTCTGTTGTCAGGGTTTAGTTTCAGATGCATTTAAAGAACTCAAGAGGGAACCAACTTAATGAACCTTTGATCAAATGAAATAAAGGAGACAGGAAAACCAGAAACCAGTCATCCCACTGTGTTTATCACTCTATTTATTATTTTAAACCATAAACATCTGATCTTTTATCCACCTCATAACATCAAAATACCTCCTTCAGGCTGATTTATTATGAAAATAAAAGGTGTGGTCGGGGTAATCAAGCAGGTAGGAGTAATTCGAACTGAATATAATTATTTAAATTAGTTTGATTTCTTTGTTTGTTTGTCTGTTTGTCTGTTTGTTTTATACAGTTAATGGTAGAAGTGTAGAGCCAGTCCTCCAACCTGACCTGTAAACGCCCGTAAACTATTTATATATACAGAACAGAATGAGGCGTAAACAAACAATATCTATTTACACAGAATATTTAATATAGAATATTAACATTGTAGAAAATAATAAAAACTGAGCTCTGCTGCCTTGTTATTAGTCCTCACAATATTATATAATTAGCTTTGTCTATACAATGTTATAAGTCTTTATAAGCTTTAAGTTTCCAAATATCTGTATTCAAACTGGATCCCCCAGATTTCCTTTTATACATTTTCAAACATAAAATACTATTTATGCTATGACCTGACTGGATACTTGATGGTGATTATTTACTGAGAGATATGAATCCATATTGCCCAGTTAATCAACATTTAAATTCAATATTTAACTAAACATTAACTTGTATAAAGATGATGTCTGTAAGGAGCCCACATATTGGACTGGACTGCTGCCGGTCACATTACACTCTGGAAGTCACAGACAGACTACAAACTTTTTGTTTACTGAGCTCAAACTTGGAGAGAACGACTGATTCCTGTTCCCACAGTTCACTCTGATGGTTTCCTCTTTTACCGAAGCTCAGTCCGTTGACCTTCCCATCAGAGTTGTAAACACTGACACCTGCTTTGCTTGAAGATTTGAGGGGGCAGTTTGTGGCAGTGAGCGTATAGTCCGGCTTTGTGCGCCTCCACAGATGTAATCATACGCAAAACCTTAAAATACAGAAGAGTAGACGGAAGTAGGAGAAGATTTCTTTTTTTATATATAATGAGGACACAGTTGATCCCTTTGTTGTTGCAGCTAGTTCAAAGATCAGCACATGTAAAAAAAAAAATGGTGATCCTGGTTAGTCTCCAGCATCATTTTACTGCCAAATCTTACATCGGAGAAAGATCTTACCACATGAGCACAGTTAATAATTCACCTTTATATCGTATGTCACTGTATCATTCATAGACACACCTCTGTGGAGGCAGTTGCTCTTATCTAGGAATGTTATCTTAACATCTCATTCCAAGAAAGAATAATAGCCTTGCAGTGTAAGTACCTGTGTGTGCTATAATAAAACATTTCTAAGAACCTGCATACATCACCTGCTTCTGGATCAAAAGCAAAAATGTAATTGTAAGTAGTCGGGTTCCAACCAGTAAAGGACGGTTTAAATATGTAAAATTAAAATACTTTGGCACTAAAATGTCCAGATTTGGAGCTGAATCAAGTAAATATTAATATACGGAGGTTTTTAACATGATAGCAGCAGGGATATTGTCGCTCCACCACTTTGATTAGACGTTTGGACAAACAGAAGAAGTCACCTGATGACTTTGATTCCTTGAATTTAGCGCCACCATGAGGATGAAATGTTATTTTATTTTGAAGGGTGAAATATCTCAACAAATATTGGACTGGAATATGATACAGAAATCACTGATGATGACTCCTACTGACTTTACTCTAGTGCCACCAGCAGTTTAACATCCACAACTATTAAACAGATTGTTTTTATTTAGTACAGGCATTATTTTCCTCCCCAGGACCAGTTTATAACTCTCTGATCTCTTTAGTTTTTCCTCCAGTGTTTAGTTTGTGACCAAATACCTGAAGAACTAATGACATTTCCTTCATCCTCAGCTGTACTTCTCCTCATTAAATTAATTATTGCTGTATCTTGATGGATATCTTTCAGTGCATTCACCAGCAGCAAATAAAAACACAATGTTATGAACTCAGATGGATTCTGGACTTCTGGATGAGCATCAGTGTGAGAGATTTAGAAATGTAGATTTTGAAAAGATTTCCCTGAAAGTTATTTAAACAAACTGCACCACCTGCTGACGTATTAGAGCTATGGCTGAATTATTGTGTCTGTAATGAGTCTTTGACACAGGAATAAGTAAAAACACTTGTTCAATAACAGTGGGTGGAAGTTCAACCCAAAAGAATCTGCAGAATGTGTAAAATGTTTTAATGTTTCCTGGTTCAGACCTTTGAAAATACAGAATGAATGAAGTGAAACAAAATGGCAGTTCAACTTTAATAAAGTATCTTTTAATTATTTTACTTATATAATGTATGCTCTCTATTGTATACAACATATTGTATTGTGAAATATTATTGTGCATTAGTTTATTTATTGAATAAGACAGAAGCAGTAGTAGTTACTAACTTTTTAGTTTGTTTTATTTATTTATATATATAAACAGGAGTATAATAGTTTAAAGTTAATATAAGATATAAATATACAGTGCAGGCATTATATAATATTAATAATGTGTGTATGAGAAATTATAAATACACAGACATCAGCCACCCGACCATCTGGATGTTTTATTGTATTTTTATGAACTCCTGGTATATTTTTATACAGTTATATAACGTCAAATATTAAAATGTAAAGATATCTGTTTTGTCACTTTGTTTGTTTGTTGTTTTTGTTAATTAGTGTGAATATAAAAAGTATAAGAGCAGCAGTTTATTGTGTTGTGTTACCACAAGAGGTCGTTGTTGTTCATTAAATCTGCAGGCTTTGGTCAGTCAACGGCTGTCACACTCAAACTTTAATACAAACTATATGAACAACTGTCGGCGGTGACATTGTAGTCTGTATATAGAAACTGTTGCACTTAATTACATTTATAAACTTTAAAAAACAAACAACCGGAAAGAGACAAATTAAAAACATGAACGGAAACTAACGGTCGTTCAGCCCTCCACTCCCAGCATGCTTTGCGCCACCAGTTAAAAGCCGTTAATAAACCGGATCAACGTTTCGTTTCAAGTATCAAAGTTAACCAGCGCAAAGTTTCCATTTATCAGCACTGCTGTGTTTGTCCCCAACAGTTTGTTCACTGTTTTTATTTAGTGGCAGCAACAATACACCGTTGATGAAGTACATGTTCCTGTTAAAGGCAGCGGGCTCTCAGTGTCTGTGTCACTATATCACTCTGATTTCTCTTCAGATCGAATAAATCT